TCCTCCCACTCCAGCCTGCTTGGATCTTTTTCCTGCCTGTCTTCCCTGTGTTACTGCACCTCTCAGGGGCTCCTGTGGGCGTGGTATGGGTGCGCAGAGCAAAGATCTCCTGGCATTTGCACCTTCTGTACTGCTGGACTTGAGGCCTCCTGAGCCCACTGTCCAGGGGCTGCTTCCTGCCTGGCCCATTTGCTTGTGTCTGTCCATCTCTGGGCTGCTGCTTTCCCACAGGAATTAGCTCTGAGCCCCTTTCCCTATGCAGCGGGGCCAGAAGAGAAGTGTGGGCAGTCTCCCGCTGCCTCTTTCCTGGAGGCAGCTTCCTCCTATCTTGCTCTTCCTCACTAACATGTCCCAATCAGCCTTGTTGCCTGCCTGAATAAAAGCTGGTCACTCCCTTCTCTTTTCAGAAGCTGCCCTTGACTCTGCAGACCTTGGCCTCTGACTTAGACCTGCTCTCCCATTTGAGGGACATGGCCTTGGTCTGCTCACTTGTAAATGGCATGATTGATGGGCGTGTCCACGGGTGCAGTGAAGGGTGCACAGGACGCACTAGCACAGAGCCTGGCCTGCGGGAGGGGCTGACTGTGGACAGTTAGAGTCACTCCTGTGCCCCTGGGGGCTGCTGAGAACGGAAGGTCCCCAGTGTGGGAACAGCAGCAGCCCATGCAGACCAGCCGGGATGTGAGAGGGATGTGGGAACCAGCCACAGGGACACGTCCTGAGGCCACACTGCTGTCTACAAACCTCCTTTCGTGGGGACTTTTCCATGTGGCCGTCCCCAGGTTGAAACCATTTCCAAGATGAGAAAATATATCCTCTTGAGCAGACAGCTTGCCTTCTCCCTCTGCCTTGGTATTTACTCTTGGATCTTTATTTTTATTTATTTATTTATTTATTTTTTGAGGCAGAGTCTCACCCTGTTGCCGAGGCTAGAGTGCAGTGGTTCGATCTCAGCTCCCTGCAACCTCAACTGCCTACAACCTCCGCCTCCCAGGTTCAAGTGATTCTCCTGCCTCAGCCTCCTGAGTAGCTACGATGACAGGTGCCCACCACCACGGTCTGCTAATTTTTGTATTTTTAGTACAGACGGGGTTTCACCATGTTGGCCAGGCTGGTCTCGAACTCCTGACCTCAGGTGATCCATCCACGATGGCCTCCCAAAGGGCTGGGATTACAGGCGTGAGCCACCATGCCCGGCCATTATCTTTGGATCTTGGGGACAGCCCCAAGAGAGAAGGAGCAGGGGTCAGCAGAGATTCTCTGCAGCCATTCAGAATCCAGACACGCTGCTCAGGACAGAGGCTGCACTACATCTGGAGGCTGCGGGGGGAACTTGCTGTGGCTCCTGGTGGGCAGTTGCATTACTCAGGGTTCTCTTTAGAAACTGAATTGACAGGATATCTTCCCTCTTATATCTTATGCATGTATGAGACAGAGAGAGAGAGAGTGAGTGAGAGAGAGAGAGAGAGTGAGAGAGAGAGAGAGTGAGAGAGAGAGAGAGAGAGAGAGTTTATTATGGGAATTGGAAAATGTGATGATGGAGGGCAAGAAGTCCCATGATATAGCATCTGCAGGCCAGAATCCAGGGACACTGGTGGTGTAAATTCAGTCGGAGTCCCAAAAGACCTGAGAACCTGGAGTTCTCATGTCCAAGGACAGGAGCAGATGGATGAGCCAGCCCCAGAAGAGAGCTCACATCCACCCTTTCCTCTGCCTCTTTGTTCTATCCGCACCTTCAAAGGGTTGGATGAAACCCACCCCCTTTGGGGAGGCGGATCATCCTTCCTCAGTTTACCTATTCAAATGCGAATCTCTTCTGGAAATACACCGACGGACACATCCAGAAATAATGTTTTATCAGCATATGTTATCTGGGCATCTCTTGGCTCAGTCACATGGAATTCGTGGTTAATTCAGGACACCTAGAATCAACCGTCACAAGGGCTGATGGCGTTTGCCTTGCTTTCAGGTCACTCCCACGGAAGAGGGCATGAAGAAGGTCACCCAGCTGGTGGCCACCTATCCCCAGGGTTTTAAGTTTTGGATGGGTCCTACCTTTCCCCTCCTCACTTTATGCCACCCTGACACCATCCGGCCTATCACCAGTGCCTCAGGTACCCATGCAGAGCTTGTGTTGGCGGGGAGCTGGGAAACATCAAAGGCCTTCTAGCCTCTCCCCTCCCCAAGCTTCTATGTGGCCCCTGCAGGACCCAGCGCCCTCCTCCTGCTTCTCTCTCAGCCATGTTCCCCTTTCCTTCATGTATTCACCAACCCCCATCTCAGCACCTCCTCCCTCCACTGCCATCTGTCTCTGCTTTTGTGTTCTGGGCACCACTGTGGCCCCAAGAAGCCTCAATTTAAGGCCCTATCCTCGAGGAAGCCCCATGCTTGAGGAAATGGATCTGGACAGAGACATCTCAAACTTGGTGGAGTCAGGAATTGGCAAGAAGGAGATGGGTATGAAACCGGGAGAGTAAGATCTTTCCTGGGGGCAGGTTGGAAGGCTTCCTGGAGGAGGGGTTGCTGGAAAAATGAGTAAAAAGATGTTAAAACAAGGGGGGGGGTGATGCAGTGGACATCATTAGTATCCAGGTCCCCCTGCCAGGCCTGGCAGCAACCTTGTCTGTCCCTAAGTCTACAGCACTAGGGGGATTTGAGGCTGGCGGAGAATCTGGGCTGCTATTTATGTGATGTTCACCTCTGGTGAGTTTATTCCTTCTACCTAATCCTGTCACTCATCCACCCTATTCATGACTCTCCTGCTCCAGGCCCCAGGAATCTCCAGTAGGAGATCCCACTCCAGTCTGGGGCCCTTTCTTTCCCTCTGCTCATCCTATCCTTGAACAGGCCAAGCCAAGCAGGGGCAGGGGCAGCATCCCACAGAAACTATGGCTGTAACCTGAAGATGGTGAGTGACTCTGGGCAGGTCCTCAACTCTCTCTGACTGCTGAAGTCTCTTTTAGTTGCGAGTGATGGAAACTCAAGCCCATGTGGTCTAAGCAAATAAAGAGAATCAATGTGCTGTAAGTCCAGGAAGAGTGGTCTTCAGGCATAGTTGGATCCAGGTGTCAATTAATCCACATCACTGGGAATCAGTCTCCTCTCGGTTTTACCATTCTCTGTGTCAGTTTGCCTTTTCATATGGTGTCAACGATGAGTCTCAGAAGCCCATTTCCAACCAGAAAGCCCACCTTTCTCCCAAGGGTCCCATAGATAGCCTGTGTTTTCTACATTATATTTGATTGTATCTGGTATATGCTTCCACCTGGGATCACACAGAGAAGTCATCATGTGTGGGGCTCAGCTGTGGCTGAGGACATTTGGGGGCATGTCAGAGTCTTTTTGGTTCTTGTCTGACATGTAGGGGGAGGTTGTCTTTTTATCCTGTTTCACATGTCTTGGCCATGTTTGGTGCTTGTCCAAGGTGTAGGACCCAGGGTCTCTTTGAGAACTGTGTGAGGTATTATTTGAGTCTTAGTCGAGTTAGGTCTTAGGGTAGATTTGAATTATGCCTGAAGAATAGGCTTGGTTACACCTGGGCCATGTTTAGGACATTATTGGCATCGTATTTAAATGTTATCTGAACCCGTCATTGTAGTACACAGAGGTCATGTTACACCATCTCAGGCTCATGGGAGAGCATGTTGTGTGATTTAGGGTTTGGCATGTGTGTTTTGGCCATGTCAGGAAATGTTAACACATGTCAGGGCAATATCCCAGGTCCCAGATCCATGTCAGAAGATAGCAGAGAGTGCTGGGGACATACAGGGTGTCCTAGATCCCTGTAAAGGCATTCTGTAGGGTGTTGAGCTATGCTCAGGTGTTGCAGAACATGTTGGACCATGTAGGAGATATGTCATTGTGTGCTGGAGCATGCTGTGTTATTGCTGTGCTGCTGCAACCTGGTCTGGTCTCTCCTTCCTCCACCATCCTCCCTTCTTCCTCTATCCTTGGCCTTTTTCCTGCTATGCTGGGTGGGAAAAGTGAAAAGTGCACACCCCTGACTGGGAGCATTCCTCCATACTCAAAGTCCTTCTCTTACCCCATGGCCCCTGATGGTCCTCAATGATGTCAGCTGCTGTTGCACCCAAGGATATGATTTTCTATGGCTTCCTGAAGCCCTGGCTGGGTGAGTAATTGAGGTGAATGGGGTTGGGGATGTCATTTAGGGATAAGGGAGGGTGCTGCCCTTGACCACTGTTCTTGATTGCCCTGCTAGGGGATGGGCTCCTGCTGAGTGGTGGTGACAAGTGGAGCCGCCACCGTCGCATGCTGACGCCTGCCTTCCATTTCAACATTCTGAAGCCTTATATGAAGATTTTCAACAAGAGTGTGAACATCATGCATGTGAGTCCCTTGAACTATGGGTTCCAGTGGAGCCTCGGGGCGGAAGGACCACAGGCATATCTGGTCTGCAATTTTAGTTGTGCTTTGGGGCCAATGCTCTTCCTCTCTGAGCCTTGGTTTCCCTATCTGTAAAATGGGAATATTAATCTCTACTTAAACAGTGGTAACATGATGTAGTAGATTCATGTCCCCGGCACATAGTAGCTCTCAGAAGGTGTGAGATTCCATGTTTCTCTCACAGAAACCCTTCAAACTCAAGATAGTAAAGATGAAGATTGCATAGTAGCAATTGCTGAGTACAAACTGCCTCAAAACTCACTGGTTCAGAGCAATAAGGGTTTATGACACCTAACAAGTGTGTGAGACAGGCGACTGGTTCTTCTATATGTGGATGGGATCACTCTTGGTACATGTGCAGCCGTGGGTCAGGTGAGCAGTTCTGCTGATCCTGGCTCAGTCTATTCACATGTTTGTTTGGGGCTTCACCAACTTCAGGTTGATCTAGGATGGCCTCAGCTCTGACACCTGGACTTTTCTCCTTGTATTTCTCTGCCTCCAGTATGCACCCTGCTGTTCACATGGCATAGACTGGGTTCTGAGAGACCGCAAGGAGACTGCAATGTCTCTGGACATTCTCTCTGCAATGTTTCAATGTTTCAAAGTTCAACCAGGTTTAGGTCAGCACAGACTCAAAGGGGCATAAAAGAGGCTCCGTTTCTTTTTTTTTTCTTTTTTCTTTTTTATTATTATACTTTAAGTTCTAGGGTACATGTGCACAATGTGCAGGTTTGTTACATATGTATACTTGTGCCATGTTGGTGTGCTGCACCCACCAACTCGTCAGCACCCATCAACTCGTCATTTACATCAGGTATAACTCCCAGCGCACTCCCTCCCCGCTCCCCGCTCCCCGCTCCCCATAATAGGCCCCGGTGTGTGATGCTCCCCTTCCCGAGTCCAAGTGATCTCATTGTTCAGTTCCCACCTATGAGTGAAAACATGCGGTGTTTGGTTTTCTGTTCTTGCAATTGTTTGCTGAGAATGATGGTTTCCAGCTGCATCCATGTCCCTACAAAGGACACAAACTCATCCTTTTTTATGACTGCATAGTATTCCATGGTGTATATGTGCCACATTTTCTTAATCCAGTCTGTTACTGATGGACATTTGGGTTGATTCCAAGTCTTTGCTATTGTGAATAGTGCCGCAGTGAACATAAGTGTGCATGTGTCTTTATAGCAGTATGATTTATAATCCTTTGGGTATATACCCAGTAATGGGATGGTTGGGTCATATGGTATTTCTAGTTCTAGATCCTTGAGGAATCGCCATACTGTTTTCCATAATGGTTGAACTAGTTTACAATCCCACCAACAGTGTAAAAGTGTTCCTATTTCTCCACATCCTCTCCAGCACCTGTTGTTTCCTGACTTTTTAATGATCGCCATTCTAACTGGTGTGAGATGGTATCTCATTGTGGTTTTGATTTGCATTTCTCTGATGAAGACTCCATTTCTTAATAGAAGTTGCTGGAAAATCATAGTGCAAAGTGTATGAATTCAGGGAGAAGTGAAGAATTGGCAGTTGGGATTTTGCGAAGTGCTTAGGATGGTTTTCTTACTTGCAAGCTGATAAGCTAGCTTTGTTAATACTTCAGCGATTCTGCAAGGAGATACGAGAGTCCTGGGTCAGAGACAAATGACTATTTATTACTCATGGCATAAATAAACATAGCAAGCAGTATGTTCTTGGTTTGCATCATTTCTCCAAACCACCCAAATCCCACGGGGTGCCACAGAGAGGTTTCAATAGTTGCCTGCTCATGTAGTACATTGCATGGAAGGAAACAAGCACTAGACTTAGGGAATCTGCTTTTTTTTTTTTTTGAGATGGACTCTCTTGCCCAGGCTGGAGTGCAGTGGCGTGATCTCTGCTTACTGCAAGCTCTGCCTCCCGGGTTCACACCATTCTCCTGCCTCAGCCTCCCGAGTAGTTGGAACTCCAGGCACCTGCCACCATGTCCAGCTAATTTTTTGTGTTTTTAGTACAGATGGGGTTTCACCATGTTAGTCAGGATGGTCTCGATCTCCTGACCTCGTGATCTGCCCGCCTCAGCCTCCTAAAGTGCTGGAATTTCAGGCGTGAACCACCATGCCTGGCCAGGAATCTGCTTTTTTAGCAAGCAGAAGTAAGCCTGATATTGGTCCAGGAGCAGTCATTGCCTTATCTCTCAATGTTGTTCTCTGCAAACACAAGCCTGAGAAATGGCCCAAGCAAGAACAACACGGTGTATATATATATATATATATATACACACACACACACACACATATATACACACACACTTGCTTTAAGTTCTGGGATACATGTGCAGAATGTGCAGGTTTGTTACATAGGTATATATGTGCCATAGGTATACATGCACCCACCAAACCATAATCCAGGTTTTAAGCCCCACATGCACTAGGTATTTGTCTTTATGCTCTCCCTCCCTTTGTCCCCAACCCCCTGACAGGCCCCAGTGTGTAATATTCCCCTACCACAACAGGGATATTTTTGAAATGAATTTATAGCAATGGAGATGAGTAAAACCAACATTTACCGAGCACTCACCATATCTTAGAAACAGTACCATTTGCCAGCTCCATGATATATATTTTGTAATCTAATTTTAATAACCCTGTGAGGTTTTGGTTGGTTTTGCCCTATTGCGGACTATGAAACTGAGGTCCAGAGAGATTAGGGAGCTTGCCAAAGTTCAACCAGATAGTAAGTGAGCTAGGAGTGCTGAGGTAGTGATTCTATCCTGGTTTATCTGGCCCCAAAGCATGTTGTCCTAACTGTTACCGAAGATTTGATAGATGGGACCTACAGGAGTGCAGGAGGTTGACCAAGAGCACACAGACCATAGGAGGCTGAGCTGGGACTTGAACCCAGGTCTCTCGACTTCCAGCCATGAGTCTTTATCTCCTAGTAGTAATAGTTTCTGGTCCTATCCAAGGCTGGTCCTTCCTAGGGATGGGTGCCTGGGGCAGAGGACCAGGAGGATAATTGCGGGGGGTCCATCTTGGTGTTTGGGTCTGGGAAGGTGCTCACAGGAGGCAGTTCCCAGCTTCAACTCTGTTTTTTCTCTGGCTAGGACAAGTGGCAGCGCCTGGCCTCAGAGGGCAGCGCCAGACTGGACATGTTTGAGCACCTCAGCCTTATGACCTTGGACAGTCTGCAGAAATGCGTCTTCAACTTTGAAAGCAATTGTCAGGAGTGAGTCCTTTCCTATGGCCTGAGAACTTGGGCCACGAACCCAAGGGAGTAGGTTGGAAAAGGATGACTGACCGGGATAAGCAGAAGTGCCTTTCTGGCACTTTCTATGTGTTGTAGCTGGGCTTTCAAGGATGGGGAAGGGGAGAGAGAAAGTACAGTCCTTTCAAGTAGGTAGAAATATTTGAGTACAGGCAAGACGACTAGTATGAGGCAAGCATGCACAACAGACAGTAGAGATCAGGTTGTGGAAGTAGACAGGGGATAGATTTCAGGACATTGAAAATCAGGAAAAGTGGCATGAACTTTATCAGGAGGTTCCCAGGAATCTTTTGAAGGGAGTTGGGCCGATGACAGGTGCGGTCACAGATGAGCTTTGTGGAGGTCTGCCTGTCATGTAGACACGACATGGAGCTGACATTGGATGCAAGTCGGTGATGGTGGGGGCTGGGCCAGAAAGAGCTGGAAGACAGTGAGGTCTTGTGAGTTTTGTGAACAGTTTTTGGAAGGAAAAGAGTCTAGGCTGGATACTGGGTGGCAGAGACAGGAGAGAAGCATGGTGTCCAAGCTATGCTCTGGGTACCTAGGTGCATGGAGGCAGCTCTCAGAGATGGGATGCCTGGAGAGAAGGGAGTTTGGGGAGTCAAGTCTCCTGGCTGTTTCCAGATACTCAATTTCCTGATGGGCAGTAACTTCTAGCTGCTGGTGAGAGGTGCTCCTGGGACTTTGCATATGTTAAGTTGTTACCTCCCTCATGCAGGAAGCCCAGTGAATATATTGCCACCATCTTGGAGCTCAGTGCACTTATAGAAAAAAGAAACCAGCATGTTCTCGTGTACCCAGACTTCCTGTATCATCTCACTCCTGATGGGCAGCGCTTCCTCAGGGCCTGCCGCCTGGTGCACGACTTCACAGATGCCGTCATCCAGGAGCGGCGCCGAACCCTCCCCACTCAGGGTATTGATGATTTCCTCAAGAACAAGGCAAAGTCCAAGACTTTGGACTTCATTGATGTGCTTCTGCTGAGCAAGGTGGGCTTCTCTGGGATGTGAATTCAAGTAACAGAGTGGAGATTTATGCCAATGTCAAATGAAAGAACTTGGACTTGATCCAGAGGGCAGTGGGAGCCATGGAACATGCTTGAAAAAAACAGGTCAGAGATAGGTTTGACAGATGACTCTGTGGAATTCAGCTGGCAGGGGACCACTAAGTTTGAAATAGTGAGGAGCCTGAGATTTTACTTACATGTTAGTAAGTCAGTCTGACACATTTTAATGCATATCTATATGTCTATGTCTATATCTATGATGACAGATGCACCAAACCCCTGGATCATAGCAGCCTGTTTTAATCATTCGCAGCAATAGCAGCCACCAGAGTAGGATTGTAGAGCTGACCCTCCATTCCCATATTCCTCCTAGGGTAGCGCAATGTTTTTACCTGTAAATACACCAGAAGGCACTGCAGAGAGGGGGCCCCACATTATACATCTTGGAGCTTACATAGGATAGCTAGCACATCTGCCCCTTCTTCCTTCCAGGGTGAGTGTGAGAATGGCAGACAGAGAGAGAGAGAGAGAGAGAGAGAGAAAGAAAGAGAGAGAGAGAGAGAGAGAGAGAGAGAAGAGAAGAGAAGAGAAGAGAAGAGAGGGTGTTTTCTTTGTTCTGGAATAAAAACTACTACTTTCCAGTGAGATTGCCATCCCTGTAGGTTTATAGGTTTATAACCCAGATGACTTCTGGAAAGATAGGAAGGATTCTCTGAGTTTATCACTCTAGAATGTGAGCAAATATCTATACAGCAATACTTAATTTCTTTCTTTCTTTCTTTGTTTCTTTCTTTCTTTCTTTCTTTCTTTCTTTCTTTCTTTCTTTCTCTCTCTCTCTCTCTCTCTCTTTCTTTCTTTCTTTCTTTCTTTCTTTCTTT